TACCTGAAGGAATAAAAATGTCACTGGGATGTGGTAAGTATGTTAAATTAAAAGTCATTACCACAATTAAAGAATCCCATATCGATTTGGAAGATGCTGCTTTCTCGTAGAATGCAGTACTTATGAAACTGGATACCCAGTCTGAAACTGAGTTGAATACCTGTGGACTTTTTTCAGATTCTGGATTTTGAATAGAATTTTGTAAGATGCTTCTTTACTTGTGGTAGGAAACACAGTTTCTGAATCACCCTTCATAGTTTGGGATTCCCAAAATCTTCATACTGAAGGAGAATTTTTGTGTGCTTCTTTTTCAAAGTTACTCTGTAATTTTTGGGGGTCATATGTACTTCTGCCTTCTCTGGATTATTTGCTCTTGGAAAACAAACAAACAAGTTGAATGGTGTAACTTTCCTCTGAAATTAATTTTCTTTGCTTTCTATAGAGATAGAAATAATATGAAGGAATCACTTGGGCATAGTGAGAAACCTATTTCCTCAGGTGTACATAACAATTGAGCTGCAGTTACCATTTTGCTGTGACCTGCACATCTAGGTACCCCTTTGTTGGAAATAACTCTGCCCGAAAACCTCCGTACTGCTTACTCCTTTTTGATATTACAGAAGGTGTTTTTTTTAAAAAAAAAAAAAAAAAGCCCAACACCCCACATTCGTTACTTTTATGAGCTGCAGGCCATTACAGGTCAGAACTTCCCTCTGAAAGGCTCCCCCACAGTGTTTGCCTTGGAGACTCCAAGGGCTCTGCCAGCTCCTGAAATGCTCCTGCAGCTGCTGGGTAGTCAGTGGCTTCTCCATTTTGAAATGCCTGTCCAAACCTGAACTGCAAAAATGGATACTGTGTCTTTCCACTTAAATACTTGCCTTTCCTTCTCCCAAATCAGAGAGAGGCCATTTATTTCTTATGTGGTCATCTCAAATCTCCATTGTGGCCTTTTGTACCCACTAAGAAGTTTTCTTCCACATACAGTTGGCAGCTGAGTGTAATAAACCCTTAAACTTTGATCATTCAAATAAACGTCGTTTATGATTTTATTAATAGTTACCCCATATCTATACCTAGTTAAAAAAAAAAAAAAAAGAAAAATTGATAGCGTTGTGTTGTAAATCTACAGATAATCTAAGACTATTGGTGGTTTCAGAAAGGGATGGTGTTGCATTTGTTTTTTCCATCTTGGTAAATGTATTTCTTCTGGTTTAATAGGCACTGCTAGGCCTATCAGATTAGGAACTTCAGTTTTCATTATACACAGTAAAACTGCTGCCTTTTACTCAATACTTATGCCATTAGCCACTAAATGTCATTAGTTTCTTCATGTATCTGCTGATATATCAAAGAAGTCAGTCTTCCTCAAACAACTAGGCCTTTAAAATCCTTCAAAATTTTTCTTCTCCACAAGTACTTCTCCAAACCTTGGTCACTGATGGCTCCTATTTCACTAGACCTTTGATGTTGGGGATTTTTACTGGAATTCCTGGATTCCTGGATAACAATGCCAAGATAGAAACTGGAATATCTTTTACTCCCTACCTAAGGCAGCCATCTAGACGTCGTGGAGGTCAGACAGTTGTTTTTACTGTATGCCGTACATAAGGGCTGTACAGTTCATCAGATACCTATAGGAGGAAGAGTGGAGACAGGGTACGGTGGAGGATACCAGCTGTGGAGTGTAGCTTGATTCAGCTCTGTAGCCCACCACTCTGCCTGGGTCCTGACACCTTCTGAAACGCAGAAGACTTGAGAGTGATTAAAGGACTCTCTGTTTTGTTAATTAGCCCAGGCAGGTAATGTTCCTAATTTATTGATGCACAGTATTCAATGCTTGGTCCTACAACCACTTTGTCATACTTTTAAACCTATGGTTATCACATAAAAAAAAAGTTTATCTGAAGTCTGGAAATTCATTGTTTAGTTACACATATGAAAATCAGAAACAAAAGCAAGCACTTTCTCATATGAAAGTTGAATGATTTTTAAAGACAAATAATAATAAATCAGTGTTTTTACTGTAAAGAGGTCATCAGGCTGTCTTATTTTGTTGGTTGATACTTTTTTAGGAAGAATTTTTCCTTCTGCTAAATTCTGAGTTGGTTAATGTGATATTGTATGTGAGAATGTGCTTACCTTTCCTGCAGTTGAGGAAACAGTATAGGGAGAAATACAAAGTAGCAAAAAGGTGAAGAAACCTATTTTTCTGCTATTGTTAGGAGATTGCATGTTTAAAGTAGAACATGCCTCCCATTTAGGGGTGCTCAGAGCTGGAAGTCAGCCATATACCTATTGTTCTAGGCCTTGTCATGCTTCCTCTTTTTGGAAAGATATTTATTTGACCACATAAATTCTTTCAATCAGATATTCTTGGGACGACCCACCTCCTTTCTTCAAGTCTGTGCAGGAGGTAGTATAATCAGGAAAGGCTAAGAGAGAGAGAGGGTAGGAGAAATGTGATAAGGAAAAGAAAATACAGAATAGAAACCCCTGTGTTTCAGACTGCAATTTTACTTTTTCAGTGTGGATGGCCAGCTGCTCTCAGCATCTTTCTAGGTATCTGGTGATTAAGGTTCAGTGATGGAGAAAAAAAATCTGTTCAGTTAAGACAGCCTTTTGCTAAGGAATTACAAAGTAGAATTTATTCCACTTTTTAAAGCTCCATGTCATGCTCTTTAAGAGGTCTAGAAAGAAGTGCTGGTGGGTGTATTGGAATATTCTTACTTATTTTGATCCACTGCTTAGTCCCAAATCCAGCTCCAGTAGTCATTTCCAGCCATGCTTTGTTTAGAAGTGTGGAACGTACCTCAGTTCATTTGTTTGAACTGGATTAATCTTTCTGTCTTGTTTTTGCTTGGAGACTTGTTACGAGTTATTATTACATTTTAATCTAACATCCATACTGGAATTCAATGTCAGCATATGTTTGTAGGGCTTCAGTTAATACTAGAGAGTGCCTCCGAAACTGGGCAGTTGGATTTGGGCTGGTGGTGCCCGAGTCATTCACACAGCTTATTTGCACACTCCTTTCCTACAAAACAGGCCAAGGGTGGGCTGCAGAGCAGGTTACTTGCCTCTGAGGATCAGGTGCAGCCTGCTGGCTTTCAGTTGTGCGCTTCCACGTCAAGATTATTCAAAACACATTTCTAGAAGGTGTGTGAGAATATGGCTATAGGGCCAGGAATTTGAGTAAAAGCTATGGGAGACTGGCAGCACTCAGGTGATTTTCTTGTATCCTCATTACAACTTTGGAGCTGTCCTGATAGAGTTACAGCAGAACCCACATTAAATTGACTCAATTTAAATAAACTCAATTCAGCTACTATCCATTTCTTCCCCTATCACACTTCTGTCTTTGAACACAATTTCAGGAGAGAAAAAAAATCAGATGCTGCAAAATAGACATGTATGCTATATTGGCCTCACCCAGGTAACATATCTGTATCTCTTTCTGAAGATGTTGCAGTGCATTGTAAAAAATAAAAATTGCTCTCTTGGCTTTTCCACTTCCCAATTAATCTATTTTCTTAAATAATCCTGGCAGTCTTGGTCTTCTCAAAACACAATTTTTTTTCTGAGAAGTAATTTTCATGGAAATTATGAGATTCCATTTTTAAACTAAATAGCAGGAGTTTGCCAGTATCTGTTGGTTGAGTTTCTGTAATTGAAATATCTAAGAAAACATACAAGATGTTTTAATTATTATCCTGACATTTGGTGTAATGCAACAATGAAAACTCTTCAGTTGTCACTCAGCTATTCCAATGATATGGAAATGTGTGAAGTAACCCAAACAGCTGCTAAAGAAAACAAGGTCTTCAAGGTTATCAAAACTGAAATCCTTTTATTATTTTAAAACAGATGAATTTATAATTAAATTTAAAGATTCTCTCTTTATTTTATAATCAGAAAAAAGGCACTGCTTAAATAATGTCAATGTTGAGTGCCAAAACAACTGAAGCTAGCAAATGTGAAATAAAGCCAATACTCTCTTCTTTTCTCACAGTGGTATTAAAAAAAGAGCTGAACACATCATGGAACAGGGAGAAGCAACAGTCAAAACATGGTAAATGAAGTACAGTAATAATCAGGAAAAAAATGGAGCAATAAGTAAACAATTGTGAAATCAATTTGATCTTTTAAAAAATGTGTTCACTGAGTTTCTTGGGAAAAAATTCAGAGGAGTTGTAAGCTTTAGATTAGTAGCTTTAAACAGGAAAGCTGATGATCCCATTAGCTCTGGGTGCTCTGAAAAGAAGGAAGAAAAGAAAAGCGTATGCTGAATACTTCATTGTGTACGGGATCATTAAAAAGTAGAGACGAAGAGTCAATGAAGGGGAAAAGAAGTCATGGGAGATGAGGCTAATTCCAATTTTATATATTAAAATACCTTTCACTAAAGGTAAAAAGGAAAGGCCTGATGCTGCTCTATGGTACACAATATTCTCCAATATGTGTTTTGTAGATGCAGGTACTTCACTAGAAATTTCCTTCCTGCATGACATGTGAAGATGTGCAATTATAGGAGATCAACCATCAACATTCATACTGGAGCAAAACCTTCTGAAGTGCATGTGTATTCATGTATATCTCATCCAAGGCATCATATCCTGGATTTCATACCTGACTCCTCTTATGGCTAAAATACTATAAAATTAATTGTTTAAATCTTCTGGTAGAGTCCTTGTGTGGTTGGTAGATGTCTATGTCCTGGCTCAGTCCTGGGTGATATGCTATCATCCCTTGCAGAGGCCCAAAATAAATTTTCAATCATGATTACTTAGTGTGATTATTCAGTTAATATGAGTTCACTTCAGTCACTGGACAAAGAATCCATGTTCCTTTCAAAGTGCACCTGGGTTATCTACAGTTCAACTTTCTGACATAGACAAGAATTGGTTGGATATGACAGGCTGTGGTCAACAGGTTTGATCATCATCCATGCAAACTTGCACATGCGTTGCTTGTTGCAGTCCTTTTGCCAGTATATCATGTTCCTACGGTTCAGATTTGCTCCAGCACACGCGTCGTACCACCAGCCTCCCCCAGGAAAATTTAGCACAGTTCTGAAAGTAATTGTCGTTGTCTCTGTCCTTGGTGGTGAACTTCTGGTTGTCATGGAGATAAGCTTCTGTGTCCAGGGTCAGTGCATCAGTGGCATTGCCTTTGTATAGACCAACCCTGATTCGATATTGAGACTCTTCATCTTCAATAAGGAATGGTTCGTACTGTCCCCATTTGATTTCAGCATTTAGGTTTACAAGTTTAACTCCAAGTATATATTTCACAGAGCTGCTAGTTAACTGATGCATGTATTCATTTCCTAACCAGTGGTTGTCATGAACGGAACCAAATCCATATTTGTAATCCTGCCAGGTCCTATCAAAGTCGACAGTACTATTGGCCGTAATGTGCTGGATTACTGTCCAGCCACCATCCTGCATGTTACAAGAGACAACAATTGGGTCCTCCTTTGGCTGGATGATGTAAAGACCATCTCTGGAATTTCCTTTGGAGCGCTGAAAAATCTCAAAACAATCCCTTGGATAGTCTGAGTAGGAAAAAAAAAAGTTTTAAAGTAAATTTCTGTTCAAATAGTAGATTTTAGATATTGAACTTTGTCCTTTAGAGTGACTGCATGGTTACCTTCTGCCTGGAAGCTGACTGACTTCATCCCAGCTGGTGGGTGCCTACTGAGCTAAACGGGGAAGATTGCAGGGCAGAACATGTAGGAACTGTTCAGAAATTCAAAAAAGGGTTTGTTACCCTGTCATGCAACAGAAGTGTGATTTTGCATTTATGACAGAAATATGGTTGAAAAGCCAGAAGTTATGTACAGACCATTCCTTTTCCTCCGGTGTCCTTCCAGTTTGAGGAGTCAGCAAATTTGCAGTTTCCTGTGCCATGTGTTGGATCATTGTGTTTAAATACTAGAGCTAGCCTTATCCTCAACAAATAAATCTAATTTCTCTTTAACCAATTTATACTTACACTGATTTGCAGGTAGAACTACAGTGGTGTGCAGTGCTGAACACCAATATCAGGAAAATACGTGTAAGTGCTTTTCCACTTCATTGCTTATCCAGTAGACTCAGAGCATGATAAAAATGGCATACAAGCCTTGGGATGACCCTCTCTATTGGGGTGAAATATATATACACTGTGTTTTTCAAATGTAACTTGCTTATAAGCTAATTTCTTGCTGCAGTATAGTATCCAGCATCTCTGAAACTAAGGCACAACACTCTACTTTTTACAATTGACTGTGAGACTTCTAAGAGCCAGAATATAATTTATTTAAATATACATTCACGTATGTATGCATTAATATATAGAGCATTCCTTTTGTAGAAAAGGATGTTATTCAATGTCTGTTCTGTTACTCAGAAACAAGTTTATGAATTTAAATCACTCCTCCATAGAGTTGAAAGGCATGTCATTACGTCATTATACTATGGAATATTTGAAATTTATAAAACCTTGACAATTTTAATATCTCTATGAGAAAAATTCCTACAGACCACCTGTGATGTAAAATGACAGTTCTTCAGATCTATGAATTCCTATGTTCTGTCCTGACAATGACTGATAGGAATTTAGATACTGTATTTAGAACTTAATTTTTTCTTCTGGGAAACCGGGATAATTCAGGAAAAGTATGGCAAGATGTCCTAATTTTTTTTTTTAATTTGCCAAAAAATAATCAAGGAAGATATTTTCAAAGATAAAAATTTAAAATAAAAGCTCAGAAAAAAACCTTTTCTCTCCCCAAATCACTGACCAGAGAGCCCCTGCTGATCCTTTTACTGAACACATTTTTTTTTCTTTTCCTGAACAGAAGAACAGAGACTGAAAAGAGTCAGTCTCATTGTATGGTCTCATGACCAACAGATCAAAAGTACACTGAACAGTTTGGTTAGTGTTCAAAAAAAAAAAAAAAAAAGCCCCCAACTTTCTGGAAAGAGAAAGGGACCATGACTATTTTATCTGGTACTGGTCCTGGAGGGAATTATATCATGCAGTCTTCTTCACCAAATTATTAAATTTCTTCTCTTCCAACTGGAAAGCATTGTAGACTTCAGTATCTGTCACTACTCTGTTAGAAATACTCATCTGGTTCCCAATCTAATTTTATTAGTGTCCACTGTCCATCTTTTTCTTTCTTGTGTCATGTTGTCCTTTAGTTAAATAGTGCTTCTTCCCGGGTAATAATAAGCCTTGGTGTACCATGAGGACAACTATATTTTTAATCAGCTTTTTTTTTTTTTGTTTTGTTAAGATAAATTCTGTTAGGAGAAATAAGCTTTTTTATATTTATTTTAAGATAAATCTTCTGTTCCTTCATTGCCTCAGTAGCTTTTCTGCACCTCTTCACTGCAAATTAATCTCCTAGAACGTGGGTAAAATTTGCACACAGTATTGCAGATGGCTTTATATAGTGCCACTGATTCCTCCCAAGTCTTACTAAAAACATCTATGTTGGTATATTATGGAATTGCATTTGTATTGCTTAGTTTCCTCTAATTTAGAGTTTGGCCTTTGGATCTTTGTAACTGGTAAGGTCCTCACCTTGCAGTAAAACATGGAATTTTGTACTTTATTTTTTATCCCAATGGTATTACTTAAGACCATCTGATTTTTTTCCCCGTGTAATATTCTGATTTTTTGTATTGGCATTTCTCTACTTAATGTTTTCATTAAATATTATCAGCATATTCCTACTTTTGCATCAGTATAGTTAAGAATACTGAAAAGATCGCTTATAAGAAAATACTTCCAGTCTCCCCTTGACTTTTTAGTTTACTTTTCTACCCAAGTCATTGTCATTTTCTTTTCAATCTCTACTGAAATTATCATGTAACCCTACCTTCTCTGACTTAATATTGTATGAAGTATTGCATCACAGGCTTTGCAGAAGTCCAGATGGACTAAACCTGTTAAATAGTATTATTCATAGTATCAGTATTGTGTTAAATGTAGTCCTTTATATTTGACATTCAGAAGTTTAGTGGCACTTTAAGCCACTCAGGACAGATTTACAAGTGTATATAGGCTTTCCAAGGTCTTACTTTTATGCCTTTCATTGCCTAATAGAATCTACAGTCATGAGTAGAACACTTTAAATCTCAATACTATCTGCAAGACATTATTAAATATCCTGAAAGAGCAGAACTGTGTACATGACTGTACCCCAGTTGTTAGAACATTCGCCTGTCTCCAAACCTGATCCCATGATTTTATAGAATGATTAAGTGATTTATATAGTGATGTCCAAGCCAGCGATATATACAGTGACACTTGTATTTGCTCTTCTCAGTGAATATTATTAATGCAAAATAGAACAATTTCTATAGACAGATAATGAGAAAATAATTTAGGCTGATTGTTACAGGATTCACTTGGAAAGTGAATTTTATAAAACCTCGAGTGCCATCAGTCAGAGTAGGAAAAGGAATCAATCCGACTACTGTTTTGCATACAATTTATGTGGGATCTACTCTGATAAATGCATTAGAAAACCTACCAATCTGGACCTTACAAGCTAGATAGGCAGAGGGATGCCTCAGTTATAGGTACCAATGGGATTTATGTACTGAGGTGTCAGATGTAAGCTAGATACGATTGTTGATTCTGAAGAATAAGTCTTCAAATGCCACAAAATATTTTTTTAGAAAAAAACCTGTCAATTTCTCTTGAATTAGATGGCAGCTGAGCAAGGGTTTTAAAGATTCTGGATTTCAGGGCAGGACATGTTCATATTGCAAAGTATTTTTGCAGGGCTAACTTTCAAGTACGTTGGCTGAAAATGTTACAGCAAAGCAATAAAGTAAAACACAGCATGCACCCAAATCACTCACTCTCTTCATGAGTACCTTTTTCATTGGTGTTACCCAGTCTCTCATAGCCTCTTGGGGGGAGAAGGTGGGCATTAGCCAAGACCACTGCCTCTTTGGTGCTCGCTGACACAGTGCAATGACAGAGGAAGAACAGAATAAATCCTGATGAGCGCGTCAACAGCATCTTTCTTCTGAGTCAGTCCTCCTGCAGCAACACAGAACTGTAACACAGACTGGAACTGAAAATTCATACTTTTAGTATGAAAGTCCTGAAGGAGAAAGGTATTGAAATACCTAGCTTCAATATAGTGAGCCTCTGCCCAAACTGGCTTCTCCCATCTTTCAGGGACCTCTTCTTTTCCTGATGTCTCATACCCTGTCTCTGGTCATTCCTCTGACACAGAGCACTGTGCTGTGACCCTTGGAACATCTCTCACCTCTCTTATCTTGTGCCATGCTGGGCAATAAAACATAATGTAATTTTGTGTGTGGCAAAAAGCCATAGAAAGGAATGTAATGACAAAAGAAAAAGTACATCTTGTATTTATCAGAATTGAATTTTGCTGATTCCCCGAGTCCAAACTGTAGTGAATTAGAGGCACCAATGGTCAAACCGGCAGAAACAGTAACACTGGCTCTGCTGACTGTCTGTAGTTCAAACAGTACTCAAAGACATGGCTTTCCGAGTGCTGGGAATACTTCCATGCATTAGAGAACTCCTTCAGCACATCTGGATTACGCTTTTTATGAATTTCCATCCACAGCTTTAAAGAATAGGTCATAGGTTTAAATCAGATAAAAAAATTTAAAGTTCAATAAACAAAAAGAACTTTCCTTCAGCCTCTTCAAAACTCACAATAGTTCAATATATTGAATTAAAACAGTTTTGAGCCTCATTTTGTCCTTCTTTTGGGGTTACACATCTAATAACATTCCATCCAACATAGCAAGAAGGATTAGGCTATTACTGGACCAAATCCTGGGGTCCTCACTTAGGCAAATCCAAGCTTGATTGAAGAGGAATCCCTATATCAACGACAGCTTAGACTGAATCAGGACAACAAACATTTCCCCTACTCTCAAAGGACACATTTGCTTAGACTGTAGCTAGACTCTCTTAATTTTTTTTTTCCTTTTAAAGGACTGAGGTCCCCACAGTGTCTTTGATGAAGGCAGAAAATAGATCTAGCAAGCAGCTCTTCGGTCAGAGCTTATTTCCTGCCAGCATCAGCACAGAGTCTACAGAGGCCAGTACCCTTCTCCATAGTGGTTTACATTGCAACAGAGCCACATTCCTTGTAAATCTAATGACTTAGCAGCAGATTCAGCACGAGTGAAAAAAATATTCAGCATGTTTTTAAAAAAATGTCCAAGACAAATAATTGTAATGAAGTTCAGGTTTGAGAGTTAAATTTTATACCTATCATACAGAAAACAGGGCAAAACAGAATTTTCTACTGTACCTAAAACTATTCCATAATAATTCTGATTTACTATTAACATACAATTTGCTGTTTTATGCAAAGTTGGTCATTTGACATTGGGATCATAATAAACTGGAAAATTACCTTCCATGAAATTTGGCATAGGGTTTCCCTTAAAGCATTTAAGTTCTGCTATGCCTGCATTTCCCACTGTCATTTATCCTTTTCCCTGAAAGCTTCTATTATTGCTGCTATTATTAATTGTTATATAATAAATGACTTAAAATCAA